CTCCCCGCCGGCCCCTCTGGTCCCCTCCTCACCGCCGTCCCCGGGCCCCCGGCCCCTACCGCCCGCCGGCCCGGCCGGCCGCACTCACCCTCCTTGGCTTTCTTCCTCCGGGCCAGAGTCCCTCCGAGTTTCCCCAAGAAGGAGTCATCTTTCTTGCGGGACGGGGGTGACTTGGGAGTCGGAGACTTGGGGACCGAGGGCGACTTCTGCGGGGAGGTGGCCATGGCGGCGGCGCGGGCAGCCGCGGGCCGGTCCGGACGCGGAGCGGGCGCTGGGCGGACGCGGCGGGCGGCGGCGGGACTGAGGCTGCGGCTTTCCAAACGGAAGCGGAATTATTTCAGGCATTCGAGGCAGCTCCCGCTCGCCTTTCCCTTCCCTCGCTCCCTCCCTCGCGCCGCCCTCCGCCCTGGAAGGAGCTGCGCGCTGGGCCCGCGCCCCCGGGTGCCCGCGGCGGGGAGGAGGCCCCAGATCTGCCCCTTGCAGGACTTGCGGCCGTGTGTGTGTGTGTGTGTGTGTGTGTGTGTGTGTGTGTGTGTGTAAAAGACCGTGTTTGTAAAAGACCGTGTGTGTGTGTGTAAAAGTCCGTGTGTGTGTGTAAAAGACCGTGTGTGTGTGTGTGTGTGTGTCAAAGGCTCTGCACCCAGCACACAGCTTAAGACACTGGCTCTTCCCTGCCTTGCCACCTGTGCAGTTTGTAAGGCCCACGTCCTGTGCCCAAGAGAGTGAGCCAGCTCCTGAAACAGTTGGAATGAAACAAAATGGGTTCAGGCCCCACCAAACGGCACAACCAACCAACCAACCAACCACTCCTGGACTTACCCATGGCTGTCAGTCTCCTCTTCTCCAGCCCCAGCCAAGACTGAGAAGTTTGAAGTTGTTGAGGGTAGGGCCAAGGCTGCTTATTTTTGCAAGACATCCGCGTTTCTGGCAGCTCAATGGCATGCACAGAGGAAGATCCCAAACGTTGGTGGAAACATAAATGGGGAGGCACATTCATGGGCTCCTGTGGGACAACCCTCCCCCCATTTATCCTGCCTAAACAAAAACAACAGACAACCAGACTTACTTGGGATAACGGGGGAGTCACAAAACACAGTGTTTCAAAGACTCATACTCGGAAATGATTAGAAGGCACATTTTATTGCGCTTGCCTCAGTTTCTCACTCGGGCTCTTGTGTCTCTCATTTTCACACACACACACAGCGTCTAAACAACTGTGTTTCCTCCTTGTGGTCCCTTTCCTGTAGCTACAGCTGATTGAACTTGGGTGAAACTTGACCCAAAGGGGCTAATGCTTGACCAGAGAGCAGCCAATCAGATAGCCTCAATCTAGAATCTGAAGGAAGCTGGAGAGACTGTTGTCAGAAGTGGAGCACTTGGCTGATGATCATGCAGAGTCAAGGCTGGGGTGTCCGATATTAGCTACATGTGGAGGAGAGAAATAAAAGGATGGAGCAAAGAAGTGTGCTCAAGAAGTCATGTGGTCTGACAACGAAAACCCGTGGAAAGTAACTGCCTGGATCTTTTCCCAGCCCTCACTTGCCCAGAACCAGCTGTGCTTCTTCCCAGAAAACAGTACTACAGCTTGTGATTAACCCCTTCACCCTTACTTGGACTAAGCACACTGACAAGCAACAATTCCTGAGTAGAGCTAAAATTTAGCAAGATGGTCTCAACTGACTATAAGCTCATTTTCTCTTTGCTTGAGAGTCATAATTTTTTTTAAATTATGCTTTCGTTAGTGCCTCTTACCTGACAGAAAGCAGAGAAGTTATGGTGTCTGCTAGTCTAGAAGATTACTATAACTCCCCTCCCCCACTAAATCTTAAAGAGATTAATCATCGATCATTTTTGTTCAGGATATCAGTTACATGAGGACATCTCCAAAATCTTATCTCCGGCCCTGCGGGCTCTTATCAGGGATTTTAGAGACATGTAGCCTAATAGTTGTGTGATCTTGGGAAAGTTTGTTCCTTCTTCTGAGTCTCCATTTCCTCACCTACAAAATGTAGTGGTTACAATGGAATAGTAGTTCTCAAACCTGGTTGTGCATCACAGTCCCCTAGGAGTTTGTTACAAACACTCACAGGCCTCCTCTCCAGAAATTCTGATTCAGTAGATCTGAGGTGAAACCAAACAAGAGGTTTGTTTTTTTTCTTTAAACAGATTACATCAATGATTTCAATGTAACTGACCCACATATCGATTGATGTTTGGGTGTTCAAGGCTACTTCCGGCTTTAACATTCCATGGTTCTCTATTCTTTCAAAAATTGCTAATACCTGTATGCAGGACTTAGGTCCTAAATGTGGCATGATCAGAATTACCCAGAATTCCTTAAGCTGCCCATGCATGCTTTTGGATACACAACCCTCTTCGGTCATGTTTATGCTCATTAAATTTTTAAAACCACTGAACGACCGGGCTCGGTGGCTCAGCCTGTAATACCACGCTTTGGGAGGCCGAGGTGAATGGATTGCCTGAGCCTGCAGGTTCAAGACCCGCCTGGGCAACTTGGCAAGAACTCATCTCTACAATAAATCAAAAAATTAGTCGGGTGTGGTAGTGCACACCTGTAGTTCCAGCTACTTGGAAGGCTGAGGCGGAAGGATCACCGGAGCCCAGCAGGTCGAGGCTGCAGTGGCCGGAAGAGTGCCACTGCACTCCAGTCTGGGTGACAGAGTGAGATTCCAACTCAAAAAATAAATAAATAAATAATAAAACCACTGAACAAGACTAAAAGGAAGAGCAAAATCTTGATTATTGCATGCTGGCTCCTAGAAAATATCAGTCACTTAAGCTGTGGAGAAGGCAATGTTGAATTTATTGTAGACCATGGTGAGGACAGCCCTGCAGTGGCAGTCTTAGTAGCATCCTGGAGTAGGAAAGGTCAAGTAGGGATATTTATAAAGTTTTGGGATCTGGATTAAGGCAGACTTTTCAATGGGGTGGTGCTTGATTAAGTATGGCCAAGGATCATGATAGTTTAGGACTGGTAGACCTAAGGAGAAGCTTTCAAAGAGTCGTGGAGAGTAAACAGTCTTTTTTAATGCTAGCTATTGAATAGTGTAAGGGCTTTATGTTAATTGCAGTGCGATTAGGGGGAAATTTCTTGAAAAGAACAAGACAGTTCTTTGCAACTTGTATCTTCCTGGGCAAGATAAAGATGGGGAATGATAAAGTTCTGTTAATGTAGGCGGTAACCTGTATTGGTGTGAATGGTTTCCAGGGTCTCAATATTATGTAGCTATCTTGTTATCCAAACCCTTCTGCCTGTTAGATAATTATCAATCTCTCTTGAAAGGCCAGTGAGGATGGGTGGTGAACTATGAATCAGTGCTCCTCAAAGTGCAATCTACAGACCAGTATTGATCCAGATACTATCATTAGCCAATGATATAAATGTAGAAACTGAGAGTTTTTAGAAACTTTTATAGCAATTTAGCAATGCAATGTCTACTTAAAAATAAAAATAAGAGGCCGGGCTCGGTTGCTTAGCCTGTAATCCCAGCACTTTGGGAGGCCGAGGTGAGTGGATTGCCTGAACCCATGGGTTCAAGACCCGCCTGGGCAACTTGGCGAGACCTTATCTCTACAATAAATCAAAAAAGCTGGGCGTGGTAACGCGCACCTCTAGTTCCAGCTACTTGGAAGGCTGAGGCGGAAGGATCGCTGGAGCCCAGCAGGTCGAGGTTGCAGTGGCCAGGAGCGGCCACTGCACTCCAGTCTGGGTGACAGAGTGAGACTCCAACTCAAAAAAAAAAAATCAGAAGCTTGTATTTTGAATATCTTTTCCATTTATTTTTCTAGTAATGCTTTTTTGTTGTAGTTTACAAAAATATTGGTCTGTGATGGATTGGCCCTTTATTATATATTATTTGAGAAGCACTGTTTCAAATTGCTCCTGTTTACTTACAGAGTTCATATACTCCCTTTTGATATAATGCTTTTAGAATGCTTAATGGTATGAACTGATCTGTTTTTGTTTAGAATATTAACTAAGATAATATATGGGGAAGCACCATCCACAGGCTAACTCTAAATCTTGCTTAATCAGAAATATATGCCACACTTTGTCCTTTGACAAGATGGGGAGGAGAACTTGCACCAGCTCTTCCGATCTAAATTGGTGTTTACAGTTAGGGCCCCACCAAACAGTTGTCCCTCCCATGCTTGGTCATGAAGTTTCAACTTACTCAAGGGATAGATTATGAGGACAGGTCATAAATGTGATGTGTGAGACTCTGCTGAATCTCTAGTTCAGCTTCTCCTTGAAATCTAGGCCTAGACAAATGGCACTGGGAAAGAATAAACCCAGGTTCCAGTCCTGGCTCAGTAGCCAGGTGATCTTGAACAAATCTCTCTCCTCATCATCTGTAAAATGAAGCCAGGGCGATACCTACTAAAGATGAACACCACACATATCTTATGATCAAAAATTTCAATTCTAGGTTGTACCCAACAAAATGAATACATGATGCATCCAGACACATGCTCTAGAAAGTTCATAGCAGCATCATTCAAATGCCTATTAACAGTTGATAAACTGTGGTAGTCACAGCAATGGGAATGAACAATTTGCAGCAATACAAATGTATCTCACCCATATAATAGTTGAGTGGGAAAAAAAGACACAAAAGAGCACATACTGTATCATTCTATTTATATAAAGTTCAAAAACAGGCCAAACTACTCTGTGATGTTAGAAGTCAGGATAGCGATTAGCCTAGGGAGGGATAGTGACAAGAATGGAGTGGGAGATGGGGGGCATGAGGGAGGCCACCACAGCTGGTCATTTTCTGGGTATAGATTCCATGGCTGTATTCATGTTCAAAATTAATGGAGCAGGTCAGGTGCAGTGACTCATACCTATAATCCCAGCACTTTAGGAGGGACAGGAGAATCGCTTGAACCCAGAAGTTCAAGACCAGCATGGGCAGCATTGTGAGACCTTGTCTCTACAAAAAAATAGAAAAGTTAGTAAGGTGTGGTGATGCATGCCTGCAGTCCCAGCTACTGGGGAAGCTGAGACAGAAGGATCACCTGAACCCAGGAATTCAAGGCTGCATTGAATCGTGAGTGTGCCACTGCACTCCAGCCTGGGCAACAGAATGAGACCTTGTCTCAAAAAAAAAAAAAAAAAAATTAGTGGAGCATACAATTAATAATTTGAGCAAGTTTTCTGTACCTATATTGTACTTCAATAAAAATGTACAAACATCACAAAAATGATTAATTTTTTTAAATGAAGCCATGGGACTACATGCCCTGAAGGATCCCTTTTATCTCTGATCTCCTCCAACTCCTGGTTGGCCCATGTCATCCAAAACCCCATAGATCTTAAA